CCGGCTAAGCTCGAAGGGCCGGCTAGATACGAGGGGGGGGGAGGGGGGGAGGAGGCTGGACGTGAAGGGCCGGCTAGGGCACGAGGGGCCGGCTAGGGCGCTAGGGGCCGGCTAGGGCGCAAGGGGCCGGCTGGGCGCGCGGGTCCGGTTAGGCGTGAGGAGCCGGCTAGGCGCAAAGGGCCGGCTAGGGCGCAAAGGGCCGGCTAGGGCGCGAGGGACCGGCTGGGCGCGCGGGGCCGGCTGGGCGCAAGGGGTGGCGACGGCGCAAGGAGCCGGCTAGGGCGCAAGGGGCCGGCTACAGCGCGAGGAGCTAGCGACAGCGTGAGGGGCCATCTAGGGCACAAGGGGTCGATGAGGGCGCGAGGGGCCAGCGACGGCGCAAGGGGCCATCGACGGCGCGAAGGGCCGGCTAAGGCGGGAGGGGTCGGCTGGGGCGCGAGGGGCCTGGCTAGGCGCGAGGGGCCAGCTAGGCACGAGGGACCAGCGACAGAGCGAGAGGCTGGCGACGGCGTGAGGGAGGACCGGCTAGGGCGCGTGGGGCCAGCTAGGCGCGAAGGGGCCGGCTAGCTGCGAAGGAGCTGGCTAGGCGCAAGGGGCCAGCTACGGCGCGAGAGGGGCCCGGTGGGTGCATAGGGCCGGCTAGGCGCGGTAGGCTAGGACGCGGGGCGGAAGCGGGTGGGTGGACCTAACCTACTCATGATACCATGTTAGAATACTAGAATGATTAGCAAGAAGGGGAGAACAAGGGAAATATAGGGTTTGGGTTGTACTCTCTAAGAACGTACATCTATCCTAGGGTATAACTTCTACATGCAGAGTGTATGTATAAGTTGACAAGTAGTGCCACTCTGAGCTGTGTGTCTCTTGCCACGAACCGCCCCTTATCTAGCCTAGTGGGTGTGTCAACATATATTTGTATATGTTATAAGCTAGATAGGTGCATGCTCATAGAGGGTACAGCACCATAGCACAAAACCTCCCTGGATGGCACAATCTAGTTCATTCCGTTATTCTAACAACAGTGTCATGGTACCTTGGTACAAGATCTCGGGTTCCTTTTGCATGGTCTGATCTATTCACATGCCCCCAACGGCAGTTACGCATGCTTTTCCGAGTTGAAGTACCTCTTGGCCTGGAATTTTCAGGCTGGAATATTTGGAAATTGGATGCCGGGAAATCAGGTTTCGTTTGTTGAATCTGCACTCTTATACCCATTCTTTATTGCATATGTCTAGTGTACTAGCAATAGGTTATGAGTCCCTCAAAGCTCCTACAAGTCACTTTCCGAATTTGCGAGGAGGACTCGTATGACGGGAACATTGACGCATACTCTAAACGATCTGGTTTCATGCCAGAACTCGTTAAAAGCCGACTTGTTGGACCACTCATAAACCAAAGATGTTTTTGATAGGCCCTGGAAAATCGAACACATAAAAATATAAAAACATCAAGTGTGGGAAAGCAGCCAAGGCCAAAAAATGAGGCTGTATATTATCAAATCCGGCCATTTTAGTGTGACATTTGAGACCCTGCTTGGCTGTATCGTGTTTAAGCTTAAAGCCCGAGTCTAGAATAGTAAAAAACCATGTTTACTGATCATGGAAGCAGTGCCAAAAACACTGGGCGAAAACAATTTCGGCAAAGCTCCTCTGGCGAAAAATACTTCTCTGCGAAAAAAGAAGGGTCGCTCGCGACACAAAAGGAACCCAACAACTTGTAATCAACAGTGCACAAACAATGACGACTTAGGGGGTGGGGGGGCAAACTGTACAAAGCTTTTCCCATGCAGCGAGTCTCGGCAAAAAATGCGTCTAGAATGGTACAGGTCATATTCCCTTAGCACCCGGGGGGCGACATGTTAGATTTCCCTATTAACGAATACTAGCCGTACGGTAGGGGCAATGTGGACTATGGGGTTTCCCCAGGAAATGGGGCGTTGTTTTTTGCGTACTGTGCATGAGCGGCTTGACTGGCGTATGCAGCGACTGAGTAAACATCGCCATGTCGCTAGCCTCTCCACCTGTGTATCAATTCCGCGTTTCAAGAGAATGTCAGAATTGACTCCGCAGGTGACAAACATGGACTGCAATAAAGCAACAAACATAATTGATTCGACAAACGCAGCACTCGACACTAGACTAGACTCGAAATTAGACTCCGACCGAAAACCATGCTTATGTTGACCGATACTGCCCAACTCCGTGCAACATAGCACAACCCCCTTGCCGCTAAGGTCATAGGCAGAGCACAAGGCTTCTCGCACCTCCACATACACGCTCTAAGAAAGCGTATTGTAAGCCCCTCAGTGCACAATTGCACCACTCCGAACTGTAGTGCCATGGAAGTTCATCGCGCCAAACCCGAACTGCATAATTAACTGCCTAGGTCATCCACTCGCCCGCGTCTAGATATCCGGTCATAACCGCAGTGGCTCCGCAGACATGACTGAGGTACTCTTCTTCCGCCGCACCAGGCGTATTGTTAGTGTCACAGGATCGAATGACTCGAGGAAAGGTTGCACTATCGATTAGTCCAAGGCGCTTTTATACTTCCAGAGTACATCAAGTAACCAGGTTTATCTTATCCTAAGGGAATAGACCCTTCTAGAAGATAGAATCACCCTGCGTATAGCCACGCGAGGCTATTGGCTTTAAGGGATTACGGAAGGATTACGCCAGATAGCGCACCAGTACATCCCAAGCCTGGTCGGTGATATAATTATAATAGCAGGATAAACCAATGGTTAATGGAAAATGGAGAATAGGAAAGTAAATGAGATGGGATAAAAGAGAATTGAAAGAGGAAGGAAATAAGAAAGGGACAAGTGGTGTAACGGGGTCGCACTCTCACACTTCCCCCCCTCAAAGCTGGGTGGTAGAAGTAACACCCTGCTTCACAAGGTATTCATGCAGAGGACGACGGGCGTTACCCATGTCGGACTCAGGGACCCAGCTGTCCTCAGAAGGATCATAACCCTTCCAACGGATGAGAAACTCCACGGCGCCATTCCGACAACGGCGGTGTGCAAGTACGGACTCGACCTCGTACTCGGGTTCATTCTGGACGAGGACGAGTGGCGGCGGCGGTGGTTGGCGTCCGATGAAGATCGTGTTCGGATCCTGATAGGGTTTCAGAAGTTGGACATGGAAGGCGTTGTGAATCTTCCAGGTAGCTGGCAGGCGTAAGCGGAAGGTAACAGGAGTGACTTGTGCTTCAACGAGGAAAGGCCCGCAGAAGCGAGGGCGTAGTTTAGATGGGAGGTGGCTGATGTCCAGGTTGCGGGTGTCAAGAAGCACCTGGTCTCCCACCGTGATGGTGTGGTCTGTGCGGTGGCGATCGGCCTGGCGCTTTTGTTGCTGCTGAATGTCGAGGAGGCGCTTGTGGGTCCGATCCCATAGCTCATGCATGGTTGTGATGAAATCATGTGCAGGTTGGACTGTAGCGGATATTGTCGGTTTCTGTGGTGTGAGTGGGTGGTGTCCGTAGCAGAGGAAGAACGGCGTCTGTCCAGTAGCGGCATGTGTAGCGTTGTTGTAAGCAAACTCTAGAACGGGCAGGTGCAGTTCCCATTTGGAGATCTTGTCCTTGCAGGCTGCTCGGAGGAGTTGCTCAACAATTTGGTTGAGGCGCTCGGTCTGTCCGTCTGTCTGCGGATGGTAAGCAGATGACATGGCGAGTTTGGTCCCGAGTAGAGACATAAGTTCCTTCCAGAACTTGCTGGTGAACTTGGGGTCTCGGTCGGAGATGAGTGTGGTTGGAATGCCATGCTGTGAGATGATGTAACGAACGAAGAGTTGCGCTGTCTCCTCGGTGCGTGCTGTCGTGTGTGTCGGGATGAAGTGTCCCATTTTGGAGAACTTGTCGATGACGACAAGGATTGCGTCATGACCGCTGGTGGTAGGTGGTAACCCGGTGATGAAGTCCAGGCTAACCACTTGCCATGGCTATTCTGGGACAGGAAGAGGCTGCAGTAGTCCCGCCTTTTTCTGCTTGCTGCTCTTCATCTGTTGATATGTATCACACGAGGTGACAAACTTCTGAACATCCTCTGCCAAGTGGGGCCAGTAGTAGTGTTTTGCAATACCGGTGAGCGTCTTGTTGCTACCGAAGTGTCCCGCGTATAGGACGTTGTAGTATTCTTCGAGTAGTAACTGGCGCAAAGGAAGGTAATTAGGTACCCAGATTTTTGTTGATCCTTTCCGGTACGCGATGTCATTGTCCCACTGTAGCAGATGTCGCTTTTCAGCCAAGGGAATTTCGGGGTCGATGGCGTACCCGTGTGTGAAGAGTCCCTTGAGGAGTGGATTCATCCCTTCAATCTGAATGGCGGCAACGTGTGCAGGCCGGCTAAGAGCGTCTGCTTTGTTTTTGTGGCCGGGCTTGTACACGATGTCGTAGTGGAAGTGTGTCTCGAGGAAGTCGATCCACCGGACCTGCCGCCTGGAAAGATTGGGTTGTGTCTTCAAATATTTCAGGCTGCAGTGGTCAGTGTAGACGGTACTTCTTCGTCCTTCGAGATAACATCTCCATGCTTTGAAGGCGATGACGATGGCAAGGGTCTCTTTGTCGTGTATCGGGTAGTTTAGTTCTGCCCTGTGCAGTTTCTTGCTGAGGTAGGCGATTGGTTGCAGTCCATTCCCTTGGTCTTGCATCAAGACTGCTCCCACTGCTTGGTCACTGGCGTCAGCTTCGATGACGTAGTCGTGTTCGGGATCTGGCAAGACGAGTACCGGTGCGGACGTGAGTGCTAGTTTCAGCTGCTCCACGGCTTCCTGGTGCTTCGGCTCCCACTTGTAGGGCATGTCCTTTTTCAGCAGATTTGTGAGTGGTGCTGCGAGTTTCGCATACTGTGGCACGAACCTGTTGTAGTAATTAGCGAAGCCTAGGAACTGCTGCAACTCCCTCACGTTCTTGGGTGTCTTCTACGTACGTACGGCTTCGATTTTCTTGGGGTCGACGTGAACTCCTTGAGCGCTCACTATGTGTCCTAGGAACTGGACCTTCTCAAGGGCGAATTCGCTCTTGGACAGTTTGACGTAGAACCGTTCTCGTCGAAGAATCTCGAAGACGCGTCGCAGGTGTTCGACGTGTTGCTTCATGTCGCGTGAGTAGATGAGGATGTCGTCCAATTACACCACCACGCACTCGTCCAAAAGTGGTCGTAGAATGTGGTTCATTTCGGCTTGGAACGTTGCCGGTGCGTTGGTGAGTCCGAACGGCTTTACCAGATACTCGTACGATCCATACCAAGTTCGGAAAGCAGTTTTGTGGATAGAGTTGTCCGCCATGCGTATCTGCCAGTATCCGGACCGCAGATCCAGTTTGGAAAATACCGTAGCTCCCCGAAGCTGGTCAAGCAGGTCATCGATCCGCGGTATCGGATATTTATTCTTGATTGTCTGCTTGTTAAGAGCTCGGTAGTCGATGCACATGCGCAGGCTTCCGTCCAGTTTTGGTGTGAAGAGTACTGGGGCACCGTATGGCAAAGTGGATGGTCGGATGAGTCCTTTGGCTAGGAGATACTCGATCTGTTTTTTCATGTCGGTCATCTCCGTAGGGCTGAGCCGATATGGTGCTCGGAAGGTCGGCTTCGAACCCGGTTCCTCCACGATCTCGTGTTGATGTGTGCGGTATGGCGGTAGCTCGTTCGGAAGATCGTCAGGAAGAATGACTTGGAACTCCTTCAATAATTCCTTGATCTTTCCCGGAGGTTCCGAGGTCTTTTCTCCGTCGTTCTCCACCTCTGTTGCTATCGCCAGGAACCCGGTGTCGGTTCGCTTCACGTCCTTCTCGAATCGTGCGAGTGTCTCCACTGGGATATCTCTTGTATCGTCCCAGTTGGGTAGCTGTACTCTCCGTCCATTGTTGTAGATGCTTGCGGTGCGGTTCACCCAGTTGATCTCGGGGTTGAATCTTTTCAGGAAGTCTCGTCCGAAGATCAAGTCAAGCCCTTTGATGTTGGTGATGGGGAGTGCAGGTCTCCAGCGCAGTTGTGACAGGATCGAATGTCCCGAGGAAAGGTTTGCTCAATGTTTCACTATCATTCGGTACAAGGTGCTTTTATACTTCTAGAGTACATCAGGTAACCAGGTTTATCCTATCCAAAGGGAATAGACCCTTCTAGAAATAGAATCACCCTGCGTATAGCCACGCGAGGCTATTGGCTATAAGGGATTACTGCAGGATTACGCTAGATATAGCGCGCCAGTACATCCCGAGCCTGGTCGGTGATATAACTATAATAACAGGATAAACCAAAGGATAATGGAAAATGAGGAATAGGAAACCAAATGAGATGAGATAAAGACCAAATGAATCAGGATAAAAAGAGGAATGAAATAGATAGAAAATATGGAAAGGGGAAATTAGTGTAACGGGGTCGTACTCTCACACTTCCCCCCCTCAAAGCTGGGTGGTAGAAGTAACACCCTGCTTGACAAGGTAGTCGCGAAGAGGACGACGGGCGTTACCCATGTCGAATTCAGAGATAGAGCCTCAGAAGTATCATAACCCTTCCAGCAAAGAAGAAGCTCCAGAGTGTCATTCTGATGACGACGGGCGGCGGCAGTGGCTGGCGCTCGGTGTAGAGCGTGTGTGGTCTTGATAGGGTTTAAGAAGCTGGTATGTAAGGTGTAATGGATCTTCCAAATGGCTGGTAGGCAGAAGCGAAAGTTGAATGAAGTGGCCTTCGCTTCAAAGGGGATAGTCCCGTAGAAGCAAGGTTGAAGCTTGGATGGAAGTTGGCTGATGTCGAGATTATGGTCTCGAGAAGGGTAGTGATGAGTTGCCAAGTGCTTGTGCTGATGTTGGATGTCAAAGAGGGCGCTTGTGTGGTCGATGTACAAGATGCTGGACGATGGCGATGAAATCGGAAGCCAGTTGGACTGTGGCTGGTATGGTTAGCTGTTGTGGTGTGATTGGGTGGCATCCGTAACAGACGAAGTACATCGTCTGTCCAGTAGCGGCATCAGGAGCATACTTGTAGGCAAACTCCAGGACAGGCAGATGCAAGTCGGAGTTGGAGATGTGAATGGTTCGAACAGTGTGCTGTAACGTGCAGATGAGTGGCTATGTTGTCCGATCCGTGCATGCTGTTACCCGCATCTGGTCCACGTGTGAAGATCACCAAGTGTTGGTGGTATGGCAGTTGTGTCGTAGTACTGCTTCTGTAGCAGTGTTGTATCCGTTACATGCAGCTTCTGTCGAATACTGGTCCATGCCGTATTGTTGTCGCGAGTCGTACCCACTCGGCATCGTAGTGCTGCGGAATGGAGAGCAGAATCACTAGTAGTAACCCTGTCCACCACGCGGTCTGCTAGTCACACTGCCTTGAGTACAATAGCGTGTGTATAGTGCTGCTCAGTGTATCCCTTGTCTTCAAAACCATGCGAGGGGTTGGTACCACAACGCGGAGCTGGTAACTTCCAGAATCGGCGCCAAGTAGTTTCCCTCGGTGGTTGCTCAGGCAAGGAATCTCAGCTGTGTAGATATCTCACGCTGATGGGTTAGGATACTTGGGAATATTAGGGGTACTCCCAAATAGTCCTCTCCCATTTCCAAATGAGCATTCGTGACAGCCAATCCAGTATGACCTTTTGCACGTCCAGTTTAGCACGGAGGCCATCGGTAGGCATCGGTGTCTGGGTGCACATACTGGGATAGGTCTTCTGGTGCCATCATGTGTTGTCTTATTCTGTTTCTCTCCTTGAAGTACCGTTGATGTCGAAGACGTCTCAGCTACTCAGCATCAGTGTTGAAGTCTGCTCTATTTGGCAAATAGGGGTGTTGTTGGAGATACGCGGAGTCCACTATCCGGAGTGGCGTCGGCGCTCCATTTCACGCCTATCTGCTTCCGTGGAGGTGGTGCTGGTGATGGATTGGTTGCGACGCAGGTTTTATGACTTTTAAGGAAAGCCATAGGCCATGAGGACTTGTATACCGGTAGAGTACCGTGGTCCTCCCATCCTCATAAGAGCAAATATCTTCTGCTCTTGAGGGTATATGGCATTGCCATGATGTTTCCTCGCATAGTGGTATCTCCTTCCCACTAGCTGGAAATCATAGGACTGTGCATGGCCAGGACTTTACGATCAACTGGAATATAATCCAGCATTATCTCCATTGAGCGGAGAATCATCCATCAGGATTTGGTTGTGACTGTTGTGTCGAGTCTTCTGCTGCGGCGGCGGCGGCGGTTGCGACGACGGCGACGGCGGCAGCTGCTGCAGAGAATTCTTTCAAATCGTACCGGTTGAAGGAGAATCCATCAACTCCCCCTTCCCAGTAGAGTGTTCCTGATGGGTGTAACAGGCGTAACTACCAGGAACACGTGCACATTAGTACACATGTGTTGCTCCATTGCTGCCGGTGATTGTTTCATTTGAGGGTATGAAGAGAAATTTGCTTCTCCCCTCATTGTATCCACGGATAGCAATTCCTGGTATGCTCATCCGTGCCTCAGATGTACGGTCGGTAGAGCACGTGATCGTGTTGTAGTAGTCCGCATCTCCCTCATTTGTTGACACCTCGTGTTGCTTGACGTTCTCGTGCATCGTCGAAGTTACGCTGATGCTTGTAACGCTTCGGCTTCTGGTAGAATCGCCTCCAATGCATGTGCCGTAGGGTCGCTAGTGAACGAGTACTTGCCGGATTAGAGGTTAATTACTCCTCAATCTGTCAAGCATCGTGACGTGCACGAAATTTTCTTCCACGCAGGTCATTAACACCTGGAATCGCGACGCATGATTGGTGTGTCGCCTCGTGAGGTTGATGTTGAGACTGCCCCAATCAATCACTTCGGATGGTTGAGATTCTTGATGAAGATGAATCGTTCAGCTCCTGTTACGAAGTAGTGTCTCGCTGGCCTTGACGAGACGGGTTCACTGCGTCGTCGTTGCATGCAAAATCTGCTCCTTCGCAGCAACTTGAACTTGGGAGCATTGCAAGAGAAAACGGCTACTTCTCTGCAATCCCATAGGTTGTCGATCAATTTGTATGAAGAAGTGTCTCGTGGATGGAGAACATGTCTTCACACAGCTCCATTGTTTTTCCTGGGTGAAGATCCCGTCGTGTTGATGTCGATCCATTTTTAACGAAGATGACTTCGTCAAAATAAATCGATCGTTATCGACATTAGTTAGAAGATGCGTCGATTGTGCAGTTGCTGGTCATGAATGTTGTCTCCATGAGGATGATTTCCCATAAGTGTAGTCTCTGCTGCATACGTGCCGTTGATTTTGCACCGATCCGACGATCCACGTTCTCCTGTCATTTTTCTGCATGTAGATATTACCAAGTAGGTAATACTCTGGCAGATTTCTGACTCTGCAGATGATTTGCGCGCCAAATTCGTAACCAAATGGAGGAATCCGAATTTGGTTGTCCTGATGTTGTCAACGGTGTCGAAGGCGGCTGATTTTTCATTCTGCGTGTCATTCTCCCTTCGTGCAGAAGTCGCGCTCCATCTCGTCCGTTGAAGTAGAAGTCGATCCGACGGTCCAAACTCCAAGCGATCTGTGGAGACTCCTGAGTCGCGTTCAGCAGCTTTCGGTGCACGGGTTGACTCGTTTCCTGCAGCAATTCTCGGTCGTCGATGTGGGCTGTCGAACGATCCAACGCTCCGAAGAATTTCGCGGCTTGCGAGGTCCCGTTCCCATTCGCGCTGAAACTCGAACTCGCTCAGAAGGATTTCGCCTCGGTCGATCCGAAGCGTCGAATCTCCATCGGACGGATGTCGTCGGTCGAAGCTCCGCACATTTCCGCGAACTCCAAGTGTCGTCGCGAACTGCGAACTTCTCCGAATGTCGCAGGGAGTGTTCCTCCGGAACTGACGCGCTCGCCAGGTCGAGGCCGTTTGCCCCCGCGAAAAATCCGCACCGTCGATGCAGTCCATCGAACGGTTGGCG